CTCGCACACATTCGCTCAGACCCACATTTGCTGTGTTGCTCGCAGATGAAAAAAGACCCCAAAGAAAAATCCAAATAAGTAGGCACAACAGAAAACAGAAAGAAAAGGCCCTAAGATAAAAGACAAAAGTCAAAGGAATGGGCTGGGAAGCAGACAAGGAACAAAAAAACAAGGCAACACACAAATCACAGAAAACAGCTGTGACAGAAATCAACTGCCAAGGCGAAGGCGAAGACGAGGGCGAAGACGAAGGCAATGCCGAAATAGATGTGGCGGTGGAAGAATGCAGAACGAAGGGCAGACAGGGTGGAGACGGTGCAGAGAGGGTGGGCCAGCGAGATGAGGCAGAGACCATGTTGCAGGCTGACGACTGTCACCTGTGAGTGTGCAAATTGCAGCCCACAAAAATTCAGAGCAACAACAGCCAGCAGCCGACAAGGCCACGCAAGGGGGCAGCGGAAGACCACACATAAGTCAAGGGTTTTCGAGGGGGTTACGTTACGGTTGGGGCTGGGATTGGGGTAGACTAAGCAATAAGTAGACAATGAGTTAAAAGCGAAAATCTAGTCTCGGTCCCACTACATATAATAAAAAGGAAAGCACAGGAAAAAAGAAAAGTAGGAAACCTTAAAGATCCCACAGCAAGGACAACGCTCATCAAGCAGCCCAAGACGGTTACGGTACTGTCCCCGCTCGGTTGGGTTGGTTTAAGGAAAGTGGCCATAAAAAAAGGCAAAAATACCATGAGACTGGGACAGGACTAGCACGAAACAAATGCGACTGGAAATCGAAAATGTACACTTGAAAAAATACCGGTATGCTACAATATTTGTTGGCATGTATACTTATTGCGAAGACAAATTATGGAATAAAAATATATAGAGATATAGATAGGAGACCAAATTCCAGCCAGTCGTCGAAAATTTAGCTCAGTGTTCGCACAGATGCCTGGCAATTGATCACTGCAGTGAGTATTTATAGGGGTATGCTATTCTTCTGTGTGACCATGTACATACCCGTACATATATGCATATAAATTTATCATTATGTGCGCTGACATATGTATGTACATTGTACATATGTTTGCGTGTGGGTGGGCCAATAATGCTGCTCAATTTGAAATGTTGATGTCTGATGATTATGTTGATGACGCAGCACCATTTGGAGCATCTGAGCTTTGAGCCAGTACGCTCCTTTCTGTTCCGTTCATGGCTCAGCCCCAGAGCCTTCTGTCTCTCATCGGCACTTGAGTCGCTGGAGTCGTCGATGGCGGCGAAGGATGGGGGCCTAGGCCAAGGGGGAACTGCGAGTTCCAACTAGAAATGCAAGGCACATTGTTAACCCCACTTCATTGAAAATGCTAATCGCACTCATTACACGAAATATGCATGTAATAATAGCAAAATCAGCATCAACTCCAGACAACAGCAGTGGAACTCGTACTCGTACTCGTACTCGCCGGAGTCGGAGCGGTATCTGGAGGGGGACTACGATTATCTGCTCCGCCGTTGCTGCCGAGCATGCCAATGAGAACTGAGAACTGAGAACTGAAAACTGAAAACTGGGAAGGATGCCACAATGTCGCTGATGATGATACTAATGATGATGCTGGAGCTGATGCTGATGTGAATGAAATTGTTGCTTTAGCTGTTGTTATTTCTCTCCAGGCTGTCGCGGAGTACGAGTATTTCGGGGATTGCTTCACGGCAAGAAAAACTTGGATATCATTTTAAAGGAATTCGTGGCGTTTGATGAGAATGCATTTAATAACAGAATTTAAACACACAAGGCTTGAAGTCCTGTCAGGAAAATTTTAATAAAACTCTAAAACCATTTCTTTTAAATAAAATAATAATATAAGTAATTGTTATCTTAAATTTTAAATTTTATGTTATAATTAAATTGAATAGAATATTCTGGGACACATCCCATGCAGGACAAAATGATCTTCGTTTTGATTTATAGAAATTCGATTGAAAAAGAAGGGTTTCTGCAAACTCATGAACGAATAGTTATATGTAAAAAACCGCTATTTTCCTACTCGTACTCTAACGTTTTAGGACTGACAGCATAATATAGAGATTATGCCTCTTGATCCCTTTTGGCCTGCTTTGCATTATTAGGGGTTAAGGGTCAGGGGTCGTCAGAGGCGCGAGTTCTCTTATACTCGTATTTTTTGCCGACTTGTCACAGGCAACATGCCCTGAGCGCCGCCTAATGAGCGCTCATAATGAGCGACAAATGTGGCGGGGGCTCCACAGAGGGGGGCAGTCGGGGCAGGCGGGTCAGGCGGTGGCAACTATCACGATGATGACGGGGCAAATTGGGCAGGCAGACTAACGGAAGTTGACGGCAAAAAATCGAATTTCTCTCTCTCGGGTTCTTTTTTAATATTTCGCAATGCATTTAATATGAAAAGACAACAGGCGAGGACAGGACCTGAACAGGACACAGCGAAAGAGAGGGACGATAAGAAAGACAAGAGATGGGGGGATGGGGAGCGGAAGAGCGGGGTAGCGGGGGAGTAGAGGAAAACAGAGAGGGAGTGGAAAAGCCTTGCGTTGGCTTGTCAAATCATCAAGGAAAGGCAAGGACACTGCCAGCGTGGCAGCTCGGGCGAAAAGGGACGCGACGCCTTAAACGCTTTCAACGTTGGCTTTTTCAAGAATCAAGTGGGAGGGCACGAAGACAGGGCCGGAGCAGGGGCCGGAGCAGGGGCAGGGGCAGGGGTAATGGCAGTGGCAAAGATAGAACGAGAGAGAATGAGGCCCGTGGCACATTTTTTTTTTCTTTTTTTTTTTTGACAGCCCACTCCCATTTGCCCGGGCTCTCGAGCAAGTGTGCGGCTGCTTAAATTGACACTTGGCATCTTTTGTTGCATCAAAAACGTGTCGTCTTCGAGCCACCCAGCCCCAGCCACGGCTTGCCATGTCCTGCCCCTGGCACCACCCCCATAGCGCTAGCTGCCTCCCACCTGGCGTCACTTCATTGTCCCTGCCCCTGCAGCCGCCTTTTAAATATTTGACAGCGCGTCAAGTAAGGTCGCCGGGGGACTAATAGAGGTGGAGGCGGAGGCGGAGACGGAGGCGGGGCCAGAAGGTGGGAAGGTCATGCACACTCTTATGACATTTTCTTAAATTACTTCCGAAAACCTTTTGCCGCCCTCACTGAATTGCTCATTCATTCTCTCCCCCCGCCCGCTCTCGTCCGCATTTTCCTCATTGAGCTCAAGAGGCGCCCTTAAAGTCTTTTTAATTGAATTGTGCCATAATGTAGCATACATTTACGTATACTCGTAGTACAAGCATTCGGTGTACTTTTAATTTTCAACTACTTGTACGGCAATTTTCAAGGATATAAAATTTCACATGTTAAAGCATTTGCCTGGTTAATATTAAGGGCGACCTTTGGACTGCAAAAATACCTCTGTTGTAGGGACTGCTTCGACAGCAAATATACAACTGTGGGGTTTCTTTTTATTATTAAAAATAATTGTACTGTAAGAATAATCTCGTTGCCCTCACAACCACAACCATACTCGACCGAACTTAAAGCTTCCTTCTTAAGTTACCGACACTCTCTCGGGTCTCTCGGGTCTCTCGTGTCTCTCGTGTAGCCGCCGTCGTCGTTCTTCTTCTGCTTTGATCTTCTTATTTGAGGGACGGAATCGGACCATCACAGCTCGTCGCTACCAAGGTTACCCTTCTGGACTACAGTGGATTGTGAACATCGAACCTCCTCGTTAATTAATATTCATACTGATCTAGCTTTTATTCAAGAAAATGGGCAAAGAATATTTCAAAATTTCTGAATATTATTCTCGCTCTGGCGAAAATTGTCAAAGTTCCATTGGAACTCCATTCCTAGCCAGAGAACGGCAAGTGAAATCATAAGCAGGAAAGGGATATTGGGTAATCCGAACTCAGTCAAAGGACACGCACACACAGGGAGAAAAAAGGGACACTCGTCAAGTCCCTTTAGGAGTTATTAATTAAATTAACAGACCCAACGGAGGTTCGGCACAAGACGGCCAAAAAGTTTTCCAAAGAATAAGCCGGATACCTTCAGATCCCGAGTAAATGAATTACGTGAAATTAGCAATTAAAATTCACAAAATGTTTGCCACCCATAAAAAAAAAAACTTCTCAACCATATACATATATATGTATGTATGTATGTATATATTTCAAGCAGTTCAATTTTGGGTCAGCACAAAATTAAGATTAAAATCAATTAGCATAAATAAAAAGAAAAAACAAAAAAACAAAGCCGAACGAGAAGATGTATTTGGGATTTGCTGCTGCTGCGGAAAACTTTATTGTTTTTGTTTTTTAAATAGGAAGCGGATGGTGGGGTGGGGCTGGGTCCCACAGATGCCTAAAAACTTGAGGAACTTAACCTTAACCTCAACCTTAGTCAAGTCGAAACTGGCATTCGCCCTCCGCAAACATTTCGAATTATCTTGGGAGCAAATGTAGTATGTGGTTTTTGGTATTTGGTGTATTAAGGATCAGACCAGAGTTCTGAGGCATTCTTGTAGTGATTGTTGAATTGTTTTTTAATGAAAATACTAATTAAATGTCCACAAAATGATTTTTATCTCTCACAGTTCGCTCTCTCATTCTCTCTTCCCAAATTTTCCCCAAAGAGTCGTGATGGAGGAGAAGGCAGAGGAATGAGACAATGTGAAGTGGAGGGACAACGAGGAACAGGAGCAAAACTGCGCAAAGGGGAAAAGGCGAACCGAAGCAGAGGCCACCAAAAAGCACATTTAAAGAATTTTAATCGAAAACTGCCAAGAAATAAATATATTTACAAGCATATATACTATACATACAACATAAACAAATAGTATATATATACAATATATAGAGAACTGTTATATATACTGAAAACTCAAAGGGAGTCGCCACAAGAAAACGATGAAGCGAGGCACTGCAATGATTCCGAAATAATAATAATATATTTGTAAAATAAACGCTGCCAGGAAAACAACCGAAAACTACCCTAACAACAAAAAAAAAAAAAAACAGCAACTGAAATGCATATAACGCACAACAACAAACCAACAACCAAACTCTACAACAATTACAACAAGAGAAAAGTTGAATTTTCCCTCAACTGTTGCGCCTGCGCCTTAAAATCGCCTTAGAAAAAAGCGCCTTAAAAAGCACTTGCTCCCAATCGTCATCGAACAGCCCATACGAAATACATACCAATAACAGCCCCTAGGAAGCGGAAGCACTACCAGAGACCAGAAACCGGACACCAGGCATCAGGCACCAGGCACCACCACAATCACCTTCTTCAACCACCAGCAGCAAAAGCCAAAAAAGCGTGCAGAGGGAAATGAGATGAAGTGGTTTCAAGTGACCATAGATATGATTCTTGTGCTTTCATTTATATCAAGTAAGTGCCCTGTATTTATTAGCCTCGACCCAATCTTGACTGTGCCCAACCCAACACTCTCGTATAACCCTCACCTCTATTTTGAACCACCACATCCACACTCTCACACAACCGACAACAGACGATGGACAACGCACAACAGACAAGCCACAAGGAGAATCCCCCGTCATTCGAGTGTCATTCAAACAAAGCCCGTCGTCTGCAAGGGCTCGCATCTTAACACAAAACAATCGCATGACACTCGCCCGACATCCTCTCATCACTGAAAACATTCTCAAAGTTCCGTTCGGTTGGACTCCGGCTGGTCCGCTCATCCACTGCCCATGCATCCGCAGCTACCGCACCGCACCGCACCATCTCGTGCCCAAACATGGCTCCGTAACCATATCCGTGTGTCCGTTGAAGCGCTCGAGTGCCTTGAGTTTGTTACGGAGGTGGAGCAGGGCAAATGGATAAACAGTATAGAAGAAGACCGGCCAAAAGGGAGGTACTCAGAGCAGGAGATGGACAAAGTAGGGGATGGCCAGATCAGAATATAGCCATTGGACTGAGGTTAGCTCTTAGCCAGACTTTACTGCCTCAGCTTAATTATGGTTTCATAAATGGCCAGAAAACTGATATGGGGTCAGAAACGCTTAGTTCTGTGTGCTACATAGGCAGGGGTCCCTACCCTTTGAGATACCAGATGGTATACAAAATTATACTAAAATGAAAATCACTTTAAATAAACCAAAAAACCAATACTTAAATATTTTAAACAATTCAGCGTTCAGCTTTCAAAAAAAAACTTTGCCAAATTTAATGTTCGAGGCGTAAATATGGTGTTGCCAAATAGTCTTAAAATAGTTAGTCTAAGGAGGCAGATGACCGAACTTATATAAGTAATTCCCACTAGTAATTTTTTATTTCAAATGGAAAAAAACCCTCAACTCAACTCAAAGCTTTTCGTTCTGGGTATACATTATACAAAAGAGGAGTTGATCAATCGCTCCCTCGTTGCCCAGGGCCAGCTGTTCCAGATCTGTGTCGGATATGCCTATATTCAGTCCATCCAAAACGTGAATTTTTAAAACTTTCCAGCTATTTTGCATCATCGGCACGCCGGTGCACGCTTTATACATACTGAGGTCAACCAGATCCTTGTGGACCTTGTCCACTAATCTGGCCACAGACATGGCACTGGCACTCGGAACTGGTGACGGGTGCGGAAGTCGAGTTTGATGCCCCATTGCTGGAGCCAATTGTCCAGCCTCTCGCGCTCTTCTGGGTATAAGGAATAGGTAGCCATTTCCAAGCAGATTCAAATTTTGTAAACACTTGAAAAATATTTTTTAAATGTGTGTGATCTGGGTGATTACGCACCCGTGAATGACACTGGAGTAAAAGAACATCTAGATAGAGGCATATTTTGGAAGTACTTTCGTTCCATCTAACAGCAAGCGCCTCTACAGACTCGGACAGACCAAGAGAAAAGGAGCTGCGAAAATACGCTTCAAAGTTTCGAAATGGGTTTTCATCTTCCTGGAGAAAATTTAAAAAAATAATGAAACCATTTTCAACGTTATATTGTGTGTGCTTCACTATTTTTATTATAGGCAGCTCTCGTATATTTGTACAGATGTAGGTAATTGGATTTAGATTTTAGTTTTGAATACATTTCAATTACAAAAAAAATGATCCCGTTGTACCCCGCCTAAAGCTAAATACACTTAATTTAATCCAAAATCCGTTTTTCAAATATATTTTTATTTTCTTTAATAATATATGAAGAATCCTACCATACAATTAATGTTTAAAGCCAGAGCCAAAAGACCTTCAGGCTATTTTTCAATAAAAATTCAGTTCTTCATATAGCGGAAATGGCTTCCAAAACCATAACAGATATCGTATTTGGATAACTCAAAACTGCTTTCTTAATAGCTAGATTGTTTTCCATGCTTTTTGCACACGAATTGTCGTGCTCTGATCATATTCTGAACTTGGATTTCATTGCAGCAGGAACGACTTCCGAAGAGTCAAATATCTCCTTTCTTGCGACACTTTTTGTTGACCCTCAATGTGATTGGGGATAGGTTTTTTGTATTGTTTGTCAGCTTTCATCCTAAGCCAATTTTTAATTACTTTTTTAATGGTCGCATCATTCTTCCTATTTGCTCTCTGACATCTTTTTGCCCACATTTGGGGGATATTTGAGTGAATTAGTGATTCGTGAATTAAAAATGATGATATTTTTTTTGGTTCTGGCAAACTTCTTAACTGGCTTTCAATATCAACTGGTCGAAATGGTATGTCACCATGTGAATTCAATTCACAATAAACTTAAGGATGCGAATTGATAAGGGCTGCACGGCTGAGAGTTTCCGACAGCTATTAGGGGCAACCCTCCACATAGACCATGCACCATATGTAAATTTGAAAGGCACATTTCATGCGCCTATGACCTTTCCCAGAGTGCTCGTACAGAGTAAAGACATTATAATTAGCTTTGCTTGAAATGGAAAGTGCAGAACTGTACGAAAATGTTGGTGGGAATGAATTGGCAATGGACCCACTGGCAGAATGGCAGAATGGCTGAAAAGGCAAACATGGCTAATGCAGCGACCGGGCAAGGCCGAAAAAAGTAAAAGAGGGAGAAAAAAACAACAAAAAACAACAAAAAAAAAGGACAATGGTCCGCACGACGCCCCCTCGCACTACATTGAACTCAATCCAACTCGATTCGACGCGATTCGACCCGACTCGGCTTCAGCTTCGGTTTCGGTTTCAGTTTTAGTGGCGTCCACAAAATGAGGCCGCAGCTTTGTGTCTGTCTCTTTATCTGTATCTGTGTGTCTGTCTGCGCTTGTGTCTGTCTCTCTCTGTGGCTGTGCCTGTGTCTGTGTCTGAGTGTGCGTGTGCCTGCATAGCCGAAACTGGAACAAGGCGGCCACGCCCACAATCAAAGCAGCTGCCCGAGCCGAAACCCCAAACACCAAACCCCACCCAAGCCGCCAACGCATTGATTGCGATCTAGCCCAGGACCCATGCCATTCCCTTTCGGGCCTGGCCAACGCCTTTTGTGCGTGGTTTTGCGATTTGATTTTCCACTTTTTATGCGCGTCGTGACGCGACGCGTCGTCAAGGCCAGTCGTGCGGCCGCACGGTTGATGCCGCTCCCGGCATTTAATGTGCCTCCCCCCCCCTCTCCACCCCCGCCCATATATTTATCCACTTTCACTGAAACCCCAAATCGAAAAGGAACCACGAGAAAGACCGAATCGGAATGAAGGCAGTCCGGAGTATTATACTTTGAGTATTACAATATACACATTTCCTCAGCAATTAGAGGTATTTGCCATGAAAAACACAAAACGAAAAATAGAAAAGAAATTAAAAATAATATGGCAAAAGTAAGCATACATTTTGAATTGTGTTTTGCGTAGATTCCCCCTTGTTTCCTTCGTTTCATTCGTTCGCTTTATTCATCTTAAAAAAGCATTGAATTTCTTTCGATTTAAAATCCCATAAATATTGCTGGAAAATCTTCCTGGTCTAGCTGGCTGGATGGCTGGCCGTAGGAATGGCCAAAGAAACAGAAACAGAAAGAGTCTGAAGCCGAATCAGAAAGCAGCGCCCAAAAGCAGGAAACACAATTTTTCATGTCATTATTTCGGGGGTATACGTAGAGAGGGAGACAACGGAACGGAGCGAACGCAGAGGCAAACATAAATATAAATGGCAGTAAAGCACGACACACACTCACACACACACACACACATACACGGTACACTGTACGCTGTACACATGCATACAAACACATATGCACTTACATCAATAGCTGCTGCAAATGGCTGCTAATGCAGCAGCGAGCAAAGATGAAGAAGCAGCAACTGCCACGCTCCAGTTTCCGCTTTGTGGCCATTAAACGAGCCACACACAAACACACTTTATCATACACACACAAGCACACAAACACACAAACACTTATATGGATATATGTATATAAAGGGACCCTGGCCGAGAGTGCAACTAACGCCCTCTTTTTTTTTAACATCAACCAACAGACGACGACAACTGAGCAGTTTTCCAAAGCTTCTCTTTTCCACTCTTTCCCTTCTTCACTCTTCCCCGCTCTTCTCCACTCTTTTATTTATTTATTTATTTCCCTATCTGTAACTACTTATTTCAATTGGTGGGTCAAAGAGTAAACTATAACTTTTTGGCATATATTGGACACAGAGAAAACTGCATAAAGCATACACATCATTTACTCGATATATTTATTTATTATAAATAATATCCCAAGCCACAGCCCCAAACAAATATTCCGTGAAGTCTTGGAGATAGTTTAGGAGGACATTATGGAGCATTGATATAGGTTATAAAATAACACAGCACTAACTTTTGAAGTCCATCCCCAGACAGTTGTCCTTGCTTGTGGGGACTACTTGGTACTTAATGGAGAGTTCATTAAAGATAATGTCTTTGATTTTGTATTTAAATTTCCTATAGAGATAAGGACAACAGTTTCCCATCTTCAATTGGGGGATAAAATATCCACCGGTTCGCATACAGACTTAAAGCTAAATAATATTGTACATACATGTGGTATATATACTCCCATAAGTACTTTGTATATATATACATACATACATAGATAACACAAGTAGGATATACCCTTAAAGTAAATGACCAATTAATCCATCTTAATTATATTAAAATCCCTTAAATCATGACATCCCTTCCCATATACCTACACAATTGAATGGTCCGATCTGACTATTCAGGAAAGAAGAAACTTCAAAACACTAGTTCCACCTAGTTAGGCTCGTTTATTTATGGTTATCTAAATACTTGGATCGGAAATGCTTTCTTGTGTCTGACCAATGAAGCATTTTCGTATGCCCTCTTCAAGAGTATAAAAGAAAACCAACTTCGCCTGATTAAACTTCTTAAAGGGTATTCCAGCTTTCTCATTGTCAGGGTGGAGACAACCAATATAGCCCCGTACCATCTCTTCT